TGTCAACCACTGCACCACCAGGGAAGCCCCTAAATAAAAATTTTGAAGTAATATATAGATTAAGTATATACTGCTCTGTTCAATTAAGCTATATACAGGTGGATGTCCATCACCTCAGAAACTGACACACATAGGAAAAGCAAAGAATACAATGTTCTTGGGGGACTTAGAGAGGTAATACATCACCAAGTTCAGGTTCTGACTTTCAACTGCCAGAGAAAAGCTCATTATCAAATTAAAGAAATTGACCCCCTGGCACCCCAAAAAAGTAATACCTTGGGTTACATTGTAGAGGTGACAAAACATATCCATAAAATGAAAAACAAAACAACTAGCCAGTCTTTCTATGAGTGGAGAGATAGACATGACAAAATCCAGAAGTGCTGTTATCTCAAACTTTGATCTAAGTGAAGATGACCTATAGTAAACCACTGTAAAATATACAAGAACTTGAAAAAATATTTTACAAAATATGAGGAAAAAGGTAAAACATGAGGAAATGAATCTGATTTATTTATGTAATATGTAATTTTTAAGTAAGTTATGTGTAACTAAGTTAATGATACCTATTTTATCTATTTCTATTTTATCAATATCCTGAAAGTTTATATATTCAAGTTTGGCTAAAAATTTTCATAGTATCTTCTTATCAGAAGGAAGGGGTAATTATCTTTTATTTGGGTCCCTAAATAGTCAGGCACATATGATACATCACAGTATGGAAATACTAAGAGACCACTGTAGCCTGATGACCACCAATTACAACAAACTCTTATACTTTTTAGTAGAACTCACTTTTTCATAGACTACAGAGATTTTACGGACTGGAATTTTACAGGAAAAAATTATCTTTAGAAACTACCCTTTGAATTATAAATATAATAAATAAGAGAAATTATACTTCAAACATTGTTCTTCAAATGTGTACACTTTTTGCAAAACCAAAGCTTGGTATATCCACAGAGCTATTTTCAAGTACTGAAATTAAGATATATATGAGATACACATAAAAATAAAACCACATGAATATAAAATTACTGTGCTTTTAGTGTGCACGAATTTGGCTAAAAATGTCAATTCGCTGCCAGGTGGGACTGGTACCAACTCCCCCACCTGCTGGGCAGCCAATCGCTGCTGTCTGAGGTGAGCCTCCATTTGGGCCTTGAAGTCCTCTGCCTTCTTCTGTTCACTAACCTTAGCCTGTTGCTCAACTGCTTGTGCCTTTTCTTTCTCCACTCTGCAGGGAAAGAAAGGAGGAATTTATCAGAAACTACAGGCATACCTCATAGATATTGTGGGTTTGGTTCCAGATCACTGCAATAAAGCAAATGTCGCAATAAAGTGAGTCACATGATTTTTCTGGTTTCCCAGTGCATATAAAAGTGATGTTTACACTATACTGTAGTCTACTAAGTGTGCAATAACATTATGTCTAAAAAAGTACATACCTTAATTTAAAAAATACCTTATTGCTAAAAAATGCTAATAATCATCTGAGCTTTCAGTGAGCCGTAGTAGTAACATCAAAGATCACTCATCATAGATCATCATAACAAATATAATAATAATGAAAAGTTTTGAAATACTGTGAGAATTACCAAAGTGTGACACAGAGACACAAAGTAAGCAAATGCTGTTGGGGAAATGGTGCCTATAGACTTTCTCAATGCAGAGTTGCCACAAGTCTTCAGCTTGTAAAAAACGCAGTATTTGCGAAGCGTGATAAAATGAGTATGCCTGTATCCTACTAGGCATCTGGCATCTAATATTAAGTGAAATCTGGTTAAGTTCCACATCATACAAAAAGTATAAAATTATTTCAATTTAAAAATAAAACATTTAAATTAAGGTAATTCAAAATTGACAAGTAGATAATAACTCATAAAAATTAGAAAGAGGACATTAATAAACGATACACAGCTAGAGAATCAAAAGGTGGAGCAAAATTAGGACATACCGAATAAACTATTAAAGGGGTAATTCTTTAATTCTGAAGTGATAAAATTCTTCAGCATCTGATCACATATAAACCATTTCCTTACCTCTCAGCAAACGCCCTGATCTCCCATAATTCCAACTCTTCCTCTGCTACCCAGGTTTCAATAATAACAGGGCCAGTTTGCTTGGGCGTTTCTGGTCTCTTTGGCCGCAATGCACTCGATCGAAGGCCTTTCCTCTGTGGCGTAGGTGTTTCTTTGGAAAAGCAATCGGAGTATTTTAAGCAATATAGCTTCTAAATTATAGTACTTCTGGCATCTTCTCTTATATCATGAAAAGCAGGGATTGGCAAACATTTTCTTAAAGGGCCAGATGGTAAATACTTTAGACTATGCAGGCCAGATGGTCTCTACTACAACTCCTCAACTCTGTATCATAAAAGGAGCCAAAGACAATACATAAGTCAGAAAATGTGGCTGTGTTCCAATCAAACTTTATTAACAAAAGCAGATGGCGGGTCAAAGCTCATGGTTTGCTGGCCCCTGATATAAAAGCCCTATTAACCTTTACACAGCCTGTTCCCTCTGCTTGGAACACTACTCCTAGCCTCCTTCCCCCTCATTTGACTGGTGCCTAGTTCAGCCTTCAGACCGCAACATGGCTACAACCTTCTTCAAGAAGCGTAGAGTGTACCTCCCAGCTGGGCTGGGTGTCCTTGAAATGTACAACTCTGGGGATCTGTATTTCCCTATCAGGGCACCGAGAAGAGGGACTGGAGACTTACTAATGTAAAGGAGGGATCGGAAACTATTAAGAATAGATATAATCTCCAGTGATAAGATTCTAAAAATAAAAAGTAGGGACAGACAAGCATTGAACCTTCCCAGATGCTCAGGAAAGAGGGAAGCAGTAGAATCACAGGCAAGCAACAGAAGGAAACTGAAACAGCAGCAGGACCTGGACTGTATGAAGTGATACAAGAAAAGAAAAGTGATTCAAGGAGATAGCAGTGGTTTGCATCAACGGCTGTGGAGTCAAGACTGACAACTGGTCAGGAACGCCTTCTTCCATCTGTGTGTCTTTGCCTATCAACTGAGCTGTCTATTCCTGTTCCAGGACATTGTTTTAATTATACTAATATTTCATCATCTATTAGGACAGCTACCCCCTTATTGTTACTCTTTTCAAAAAAGCCATTCTCATTTATTCTCCAAGATGAGCTTTTGAGTTGATTCAATCAAGATTCAAAAAATTAAATTTATCCATCTGGGGACAATTAACTTCTATAAAATAGTAAGCTTCTATTTATAGACAGCATCTTCTTTTTACACGTTTCTTCATAGTTGTTCCCCTAAGTATTTTTACTACACATGTCAAATAAAATTATTTATTTTTGTCTAATTATATATCTTGAATCTGGACACCTTACTGGACCCTTCTTAGTGTTAATAATTTTGATTCTCAAGTACAGAATTATTATACCTTTTCTTTGCTTCCTTTAGAATAGGGGCTGGATCCCACTGTTCTATGTATTTGCCACCTAAGGCCTATCATGTAGGTGTCTATAAATGTTTCCTGAGTAACTCTTTACGCCTCTTAGGTTACTTCTACCCTGAGCCCTGAAGTATTACACAATAGCTTGAACCCTTGAGTCAACAAATCTTCACTGACCACTTATGTGTCAGATTCTACAGCGGGTTCCAGGACTACAACCAGACAGACTCAAAGGCTTGAGTCTTGGAGCTGACGGTCTGGTGTCAACCACTGCTCCATATCTTTAATTACTGATAAAAGAGGTATTTGTACCCCTCCTCTGCCTGGTACCATGACTGTAGGCATCACTGTGTGTCTCGTGGAATTTTGCTATGTTTACTGATTAAATATCATTTTGAAAACAGAATAGTTTGTGATGAAAAAGTATTTTTTTCAAAAGTTGAATAAAGAGTTAAAGAAACAATTATAATCAAACTTCAATTCATAAAAGATATGGCTAACAGGTAAATAATAAAAGAAAAGAATTCTTTCTACTCCTTACCTTTTGGTGCTTCTGGAACTCCAATGGGGCAGATGATTTTCCTGATACAATATTCAGATCGAATGCCATAAGGACCAACATCTCGCCTCTTAATTATTTCTGTTGTTGTGATTTCAGTTTCAGATGTTTCTATGGTGATTTAATTCACATAGTATTAATAACCACCCAAAATATTCAGAGAATAAAAAGGTACAACATCTGGTACTTTAAAAAAGAGACTAGGGGCTTCCCTGGTGGTGCAGTGGTTGAGAGTCCGCCTGCCAATGCAGGGGATACGGGATCGTGCCCCGGTCCGGGAGGATCCCACATGCCGTGGAGCGGCTGGGCCCGTGAGCCATGGCCGCTGAGCCTGTGCGTCCGGAGCCTGTGCTCCGCAACAGGAGAGGCCCGCTTACCGTAAAAACAAAAACAAACAAAAAAAAAGACTAAACCTTTGGAAACATTTGCTTAATGAACAGCTGCAGGACCATCACTAGATTGCAACAATACTGAGTTTCTTCGTCACTGAAAATTTCTCAACTGAGCAAAATGCTGTTTGGGCACAGCTTAGTTCCTGGTGGCAAAATTCGGTCAAAATAATAAAAACCCTAGTAGAGCAGCAGCAAGCACAGGGTTCCAGATGTCCCAATTTAAATGATTTATACTGTGCGGTAAGAAATATCTTTTAAAAATTCACACTGGTTCACACATTAGTGACTACCCTTATAATGTGAAACCCCCCTGCCCGGCCCCCAGGATTTTATAGCATGTGTTGCTAAACTTGACCAAAGCCTTGTTTTTAAAATACTAGCACTATATTTTAATAAATAACAGACATGCTTAAAATGAAGTGAACTGTCAAGAGATTTTTCTCTTTTAAACTTAAATTCGAAAATAAAAAAACCGCTACCTGTCCGTGTAGTCCCTCCTCCTGGAGGAGCCTTGGCTGCCATGTCATCCCATCTCAGACTTGCCCACAGTAACCGCAACATAAGACTCACTCCAGCTAAGGACTTCACAGTCTGAAGTCTATACCTGAAAGAAAAACCCAAGAAAAACGATGTATGTATACACACACACACACACACACACACACACACACATTCTCTCTCTCTCTCTCTCTCTCTCTACTAAACTGAAGGATTGTTTTTTGTCCTCATTGTGACTTCAATATTTATCATATGGCTTTATAAGCACTTTGGTTATTATATGTCCCTTAATAAAAGAACTTTTTTGTTCCCAGGCATGACATGCATCTAACAGTTCACAAAGGGGCTGTAGTTACCTCAAATGCCATATAAATATGTAAAACAAAGCATGTTTCATTGTAAGACTGATATGGCAACAATTTACAAAGATTTTATAAATTTAGCCTAATTCTAAAATATGTGTTAGAAAAATTATGAATGAGAGCATATATGGAGAAATAAATAACTGTGTGACAATGTGATAAGTGATCTGAAGAATAAAATCTTAACTGATTTTTGGTGAAACAAACTGAAAATGTTTCAATTTTCTCAAAAAGCAAAACAAAAAGACCTCACAAATCCAGTAAGACCTTTCCAGATGGACAGAAATTTTGTACTGAAATGGTGGTTCTGCAAAACACAAAGTACTGGATGATGAATGCTGCTAATACTAACGTTACTTTAACAACATTAGTGTAGTTTTAGAATCCTATGATACAATGAATAATAAAAAAGGACATTACTATGTTAGTTACTAGTCAGGAGACAAAGGAATCTTTGTGTTCAGGTTTCTTCTAAATACTGTATACAAAGTTATTGAACATTTTAGATATTCTTTTAAAAATAATATTAAAAACACATTTCAGAATGAATTTACAACTGCAATGAATATCATGTCTTAAAATGGAGTTAACCATAGAACATTTTAAAGCAGGCCTAGGCTGTCAATTCTCTATTAGTGGTTTTGTATAATTAAATATTTTATTGACGTTTCCACATACTTAAATGAATATACTGATTGATTGTACTGTAGGG